TAGGAATTTTGTTATTTCAACTTCCTGTGAACAAGTCAAGGTTGAAGGCTAATTCAATGGTATATTTTTCGACAGAGGCGGCACTAAGGTATTCACACCTTTATCCCAAATAAAATATCTGGTAAAAGTAACATGTGATACAAAAAATGAGAGAATATCTTTAACGATAATATATTTTGTTTTATTTGTTAATTTTTCATCATCGAAGTTACAGATATCTGATGCCCTAGAATACCAACGTTCAACAGTCTGAAAATCCGTATTTCCACTGTCAGCTTTATTATGTACTTTCATTATGTTTTTGAAATATAGTTTCAAGTGATATTCTTATTTGGTTTCATCTTTAACAATCTTTTCAAATACTTCATTCCACATTTGAAGAGTACGAATTTGCTTCAACTGCAACTCATTCGATGACCTTTTTTACATCTAGTTCACCTGAACGTGGAATTCTTCATTACAATCACTTATAGATAATTTAATCCCTACCAAGAAATTCTACCCCTTGAAAGATTCGAGATAGGTTAAAAATACTTGCCAAAACTAAATTAAATTTTGATTCAAGAATACCTCTGACATTTCAATCTACAAAAGCATAAAAACATTTCACACAATTACAAATTTCAAAAAATCTGCTTACTACAAATTGTGAGAAAAAAGCAAAATAAATTTAAAGGAAATTCAAAAGCTATATTGTCAATTAAATTGAATAATCAGATATTTTATTACTTATCTCACCAATGTTGTTGAAAACATTTAAATATCTGAGGGAGGTCAAAAGCATTTATGTCTGTTAAATTTATTTTTCCGATAATCAGCTGGCGCCCCCCTACCAACGACAACTCTCAGAAGTAGAAACTTGTGTGAGCTAAGGATTAACAAGGTTTTGCCTTTCAAAGTGCGATTCTTGGAACCACTCACTGAGTAGATTTGGCAAAATTCATAAAAATTTCCTTTTTTGAAAAGGAAAGATTCTCTTCCAAAAATTGCAGTTTCACCTCTTATCACAAAATTTTACAAAATAATTAAGACCAATCTTGAAAATGGAATAACTTTTTACTAAAAATGAGTTGATGAAACAACTTTTCAGTGACTCAAGTAACGTGACTTTGTTTCAACCTGTAATCAGCATAACTGAAGATCCTGAGGAAGGAAAACACACAGCTACGAAGCTTTATATCTTAATCAATCGATTGTATCTCTGATATAACTATACTTATAGAATGAGAAGCATTCCATTAATGTAATGAATGAATGAAATTAATCTTCTTGACAATTTGTTAACCATTATTGTTTGTGAATTACATAAATTATCTCTCCAATCGTTTTCATGCAAATAAGTGAATCCTATTTAACAATGATGCCATACTTATAATATCACAAATTCTAATTTTGGTACTGTTTCACTGATGTAATTTGAAATTATTGGAGGAAATACCTCAAATTAGTAATCCTTCAAATTCGAAACAAATGAAAATAAATCTTGAAGATGTACTTTATCTGCAAAATCAAGTAAGTTGCACAAGATAAACTAAGGGTAGTAACTGTTGATAATAAACTAACCTTACCACCTCAGAAAATTGTCTAACGTTATTATTCTTTCGGTATTTTATAAAAATAATATATTGAGTGTAATTTAATCAAGTAACTTTTATCAAAGAGTAAACTTTCACGGGCGGAGATAACTGAGTCAAAGCTATTTTACGATTTTTTCGGCCGTGGTTTACAGATTTTCAAGCCTGAAGTTTCGTCTACTACTGCGGTAGATATTATCAAAGGCGATGAGGTATCGGCTTTATGTCACGGATGAGTTGAATCTACTCATGCCACGACGACGTAAAAAAATCATATGCTTATTTGATTCAATCCAAACCAAGAAATTTTGTTTAAATTGAAAGAGGGTAAATTTTCAGGGAGATTAGTATTTGGGTTAGGTTTTCTTCTTTTCTGATTGAAATTAAATTTTCATGAGAGCCACAAACATGTATTTTTATTATTATTAACATTCTGTTAATATTGTTTGTCAATTGTATTGGTCATTCATTTTTATCAATAATTATAAGTTTCTTTCATAGAAAAACAACAGTAATACTGAGTGTTCATTACAATAACTGACTGAAAATGGAGGCTTGACACGCAGCACTGTATACAGATTATAATTTGTTTGCGAGGTTCATCGAAAATCCAGCTATACTCGAATCACTGGTCGTTCGCAACATATGCACAGGGGACGTCACAGCGAATGGTTCCCGAGAATACGTTATTCTTGAAACATTGGCGGATCTATGATTTGACTACGAATCGAAAAAAATGAAAGGATTGAGGCTGACTTTTGGGTATCTTCAGTTGATTAGTATGAATGTCTACAAATGTTCGTATTATGAACTCAAGAATACAAGGTAGTTATTCTTGAATCACTCGTTTTTCGCAAGTTATACAGTACACAGGTGCAGTCACAGCAAATGATTCCACAGATATTGGTATTCTTGAAACATAAGCAAATATGCGAAATGATTGTTACTCGAGCGGGCCAGATTCTTGAATTACAAAATTTCTGTGCATACGTAGTTGAACTGTATTCTCAAACCACTCGTTTTGCGAGTAACAATCAAATAGCAGATGTCGGAATGTTTCGAAAATAAGTTGCGAACGACGAGTCATCAATAATACTAGCGCAGTACCGAATTATTTTTTATTACCTCGTAGTTGTCATTTCTCAACTAATTATCAGATCTACTAAAAAAATTATTCATGTAATGTAATGCTTCACACGCCACCACTGATTTTGAATCGAACGAGTCCCTGTGACGTCATTGAAGCGTGCAGAGGCGCGAATATGGATTATTTCTGAAATCAGGAATTGTTATTGTTCTTATTTTCAAAAATGTTTCGAAAGTACCATTAACGGAAAAATGTTATTCAGGACTACAATGTATTTTCAAAATGTCCGTTTATTAATACTTAAACGTGCAACTGTGGAAGAAGAAATTGAATTTTGTAAGGTAAGTAAATTCATTAATGGGTCCGTTAAATCAAAACGTATCATTTTACCAACTTAAAACAAAAACTCAGAAGTGTCATTACGAGTAAATAAGAAAATGAGTCCGAGCCAAACAGTAACAAAGCGAATCAGATAATTTGAAAACACACGCAAGTTTCCCCACTTTTTTAATGAATTTTCTTTCATTGCGCATTTAAAGTTGNCTTTCCTTCTACAATTTCGAATTTGATAGAATTTTTGCAAAACTGAATAATCAGTTGAAGATTAGACAGATATAGAATTTTTCATTTCAGGATTGTTCGAGTGTTTTTTTAGTTGATTCCACTATTAACTACCCAGAAACGGCAAAACCTATGAAATTTATCAAATCAGATGAAACTTGACTATTTGAGGAGATATCGAAATGTTTCTTCACGTCGAATATTACTAACTGTTTTCGAAATATTCGCGACAGTTTTACTTATTTTTCTGTTCCGCCTGCTTTTAAAGTAAAATGTAAACATGTTTCAAGGATTGTTCGTACTGACTCAGTTCTGAATGCATCGATAAAATTGTTGTTATGACTACCAAAACTGATTGGAAAGAATGTGGGTTTGTTTTCTTAAAATAATTGAGGATGAATTCAATGAAGAGCATGTGACATTGAAATGAATAGTTCAGTGAAAGCTCTGGAAAACTCTATACTTACTAAAAAAGTTGCATCACTAATATAACGTTAAGTTAGAGACACTATGTATTTTTTTCAAACAAAAAGAAACCAAATTATTTTTCCTTGCACCTAATTAATGAATAATTAGGCCAAGCTAATATGGTCTAGTGATTGTTCTGGAAAACATGATGATGAAATACTTTTTTGTAAACTTGACGTAAAGTTAGCGAAACACCATGTATTTTTTTAAACACAAAGAAAATGAAATATTTTTCTCCTTGAGTAAATAGCGAATAATTGGAGTATAATGATGATCTTGTTAAAATTCTGGAAAACCTTTTAAAAAAATTTGTTTTACTAACTTGAAATTATGAATTTAAAAAAAATTAACAAAAATATATTTCGTTTTGCAACTAATTACCTAGCTGCAAAATTGCTCTAATCGTGGAAGCATTAGTTTTGCATATTTCAAAAAGTGTCTCACTAACTTTATATACTATTGCAACTGATACTATTAGGAAAACTGTACACAACAGAATAATTATAAAAAGTCTTGAAAAGAAAACTGAGAAATTTATCTGGACACTGTATAGCTAAGACATAATAAAGTACATGTACAGGACATATAGACAAATTACCAAACAAAGTATACAGATATACATTGCAAAAACTGTCAATATTTTATGCTTGAACTGTATAACCCTTTTCTGTAGAATTAACAGTTTGAAACTTGGTCTTATAACACACCACTCAAAAAGAAATTTCAATCTATTTCAACTACAAAACTCCTTGAAGCTACAATTTTTTAGAGTTTGACTCTTTGGAGATGAATCTTGAGATTATTATATGCAATTGCAAAAGATCTGTAGTGATAAAAGGCATAATTTGAAAACACACGCAAGTTTCCCCACTTTTTTAATGAATTTTCTTTCATTGCGCATTTAAAGTTGTTCATTTGATCTCGATGACTTGTAGATTTTATGGCATGGTTATTGTGAACGGTGCTGCTCTTACCAAGTTGAAATCAGATAAATTTGTGTAAATAGCGACCTAACAATATTTATTCAACCGAAGGCATGAATTAAAAGTGCGCTAGATAATGTTTTTGTTCAGTCTAACCCCAAAATTCTTTAGGGATCGGGCCGGTGTGAGCTGTCATACGTATGTATTCATCAGCTGATTGTGATTTGTTTACAAATATATTTGTGGACAAAGATTGTGAAAAAACTTCATATACATTTCTCAGTGGTGTGAACGATGTTTATTTCCAAAAGAACTATTGAAATATTTGACTCTCATTGATTGTAAGGTTATGTTCAAATTGTGTAAAAGACTTGAAAATAAACAAACATGTTGTCTCTGAAGAAAGTGTATAGAGACGAGTTATTGCAGCTTGCTCTCTTGTTGAGTATTTTACGAGTTAACCACGATTCTTTTTACGAGAACGATTTATACGATAATTTAGACTTTGACAATGGTACTAGTTGGCGAAGTATTACATCAACAGTACTGAGATCTCATTATGTTAACCCAAAAAGTTTGGACTCTGTTCTTCTCAATTATGAAAGAGATTTGTTTGCGGACCTGAATTCCTTAGGAAGATTCAGTAGAGATTTTCGGCATCCTGATGTTACTACTTACTTGCTCAACATCGAAAGGACAGCAACAGCGGCAAACACAGAAGTTTTACCTGTTCCTGTTGCACAACAGAATCAGACAGATGATCCCATTGATGGCAATGCTGGGGCGGCTCTTCCTCTTGATGTCGGTCTTAGTCTTACGCAAGAGGTAAGTGAATAATTGCATTGTCTTTGCATAAAAAAATTAATTAAAATCATAAAATCAATTTCATTACTCGCCTGGCTATTATATGAATAGTTTTCATATAAAACAATAGTTTCAGAAAACCTTTTATTTTTTTTTATTTTCAATTGAACTAGAAAAAATTCTGAAGACAATTCTCTAGAGAAATTTTTGGATACAAATAGAAAAAGTTATTGGATTACATAGAAATCATTTTATTCTTAATTTATATATCGAAAATTTGAAGGTATATCAAGTTAGCAAGACACAAAATATGCAAAACTAATAATTTCACATTTTTTATTTGTTGCTAATTAATTGTGGAAAAAAATATTTTTTCACTCC